GAATAGCAAAGTTAGCTAAGTGCCTCAAAACAGCGCGTTTTCAAGCGTTGTCTCATTACCTGAATGTGTGTCCTCAGAGAGTTTATTGAAACTAGGGGCGAACAGCACAACCTCAGCTTTATTTCACGAGAGCAGATATTTTGTTGTTGTTGTTGTTGTTGTTGTTGTTGTTGTTGTTGTTGTTGTTGTTCTTCTTCTTCTTCTTCTTCTTCTTCTTCTTCTTCTTCTTCTTCTTCTTCTTCTTCTTCTTCTTCTTCTTCTTCTTCTTCTTCTTCTTCTTCTCATCGGTATCATCATCCTCATTATCCTAATTTTCCTCTGACTGCAGGAGTTCCTGACACAGTTTGGCTACTTGCCGAAGACCGAGACAGAGCACATAGGACACCTACAGTCTGCAGATGTCGTTGCCAGAGCCATCGGGTGAGTTGCGCTTACACTGTTACTTGTTACTTGTTAATTGTTACTTGTTACTTGTTACTTGTGTGAAGGACCGACACCACTGCACAAGGGACATCACCATAAGCGCTCCGTCCCCTGAAGAAGCACATCTCGAAGTGTGTAGATGCTGACGGCTCCAAGCAATGTTTGATTCCATAGCCTTCTGCTCCTCCCACTAAGTCTTGAACTTCTGCAGGCGCCCCATCCAACCCCAAGCTCACGAAGTGTTGTTTCACCAACCTTAAATAATACAACTTAATTAAATTCTGAGACCGCCATTGAAATCGAAGATGAAAAAAGCAGTATGTATGTCAAAGCTTTATCTGGGCGCAGACACAGAGGTAGTAGATTGCCCATGTGAGTTAGTTATCCCTCCTTTCAGGTCTCGAAATCCTGGATATATAATATTCCAAAAGGAGAGGAATATTAATATGTCATTAATACCTTTCGAATCTGGGAAAGTGTAAAGGTGTGTATTATTATTCTACAGGGGTGGGTGGGAAGGCTAAAACAGCACCTGGACATGGACGGCTGGTGTCTCTATAAATAAATCATTGATGGTCGGGTGGGTGGGATGGGGTGGCACACGGTATGCTCATCTGGGATTTTCAACAACACAAACAGACTTAAAAATGATTCATTGCTTTGAAGAAGTCCTCTTACATCTTTGATTTTTTCAGAAAATTTCAAAAGTTCAACGGCCTCGAAGTGACAGGTGATCTGGACCGAAGCACGCTGACCATGATGAAAAAACCGCGATGTGGGATCCCAGACATTGTGGAGGAGGACCGTGGCAGATTTCTGGACAGACTACAGCCAATGGCGTACACAGAATACGGTACACAATCGTCTTATGAGTTGTGCATTCATGTATCAGTGGTTATGTGGTGCGCCCACTGCGCGCGCGTGTGAGTGTGTGTGTGTGTGTGTGTGTGTGTGTGTGTGTGTGTGTGTGTGTGTGTGTGTGTGTGTGTGTGTGTGTGTGTGTGAGAGAGAGAGAGAGAGAGAGAGAGAGAGAGAGAGAGAGAGTGTGTGTGTGTGTGTGTGTGTGAGAATGAGTGCTTGCTTGCTTCCTTGCTTTCTGCTTTAGTGTCTCTCTCCTTTCTTGTCTATTTCTCACTTCCCATATCAGAGGCCTAGATCTAGCAATGTAAACCTAGATCTAGATCTAATCTAGGTCTCTGCATCCATCTCTCAACTTATCTCTCTCCCCCCCTGTCACTCTCACCACCCTCCCTCTGTAGTGCTACTCCTCTTTCTTTACAATGGCATCTAAGAAGACGGACTTTCCTAAGATTAGATCTAAACGAAACTAATGAAAAACTGAACATTAAACTACAGTGACTTCAGACTCCTCAATAAAATTGTGCACTCTTTAAATGATTCTGAACCACCTTTAATTTTATCAAATTCGAAAGTTAAGTTGTTCGGAAGTTTTAGGAGGCCAAAGTGACAGACTTTCACAAATATAATAATAGAGGGATAAGTTGCGTCCCGAATTTTTAACCAAACTTTTGTCTGAACGTTCTATCTTTGAAGTTGTCTTACAGTAAGTGTGCACTCCAACGTCATGTCTGGATCTCTCTGTTTCTCTTTATCGATCTATTTTTAACACGCCTTATATTTAGTCGCTTTTAATTAAGCACAAGGGGGCTATCCCGAAAAATGATGTTTTGAGAAAATCGATGGTAAAGTTTTGGACTCTTGTTCACTTTCTTTAAAAGACAAGGAGAGTTTTCTCTTTAACCAAACACATATAAAATCTACACACCAGTGAAATCAAACTTCTCCTATAGGTAGGGTAATGCCCACTTTTGGTGTAGGTAAAGATTGCTTGAAACAGCCGAAATCTGGGTTAGCCCGCTTGTCCTTAATTAAAAGTGACCATTTTAATAATGAGTTGTTAATAGTGTTATTCTAATTGTTGTTGTTGTTGTTGTTGTTGATGATGTTATTGTTGTTGTTGTTATTGTTGTTGTTATTATGCTGCTGATACTGCTGTTGTTGTTTTGTCTTATTGTTAGTTTGCCTGTTATCTTGATATTTCATGTTACTTTCAACTTATTATCATTATCTCTCCCTTCCTTATGTCTCACCCCACCCCCTACCCAATCCCTTGCCTAATCTGTCCCTTCCCCCTCTCCATCTCTCTCCATCTCTCTCTCTCTCTCTCTCTCTCTCTCTCTCTCTCTCTCTCTGTCTGTCTGTCTCTCTCTCTCTCTCTCCCTCTCTCTCAATCAACAATCCATTTTGAAATCTCAAATCTGAAATCTCTCTCTTTGTCTCTCTCTGTCTCTCTCTGTCTCTCTCTGTCTCTGTCTCTCTGTCTCTCTCTCTCTCTCTCTCTCTCTCTCTCTCTCTCTCTCTCTCTGTCTGTCTGTCTCTCTCTCTCTCTCTCCCTCTCTCTCAATCAACAATCCATTTTGAAATCTCAAATCTGAAATCTCTCTCTTTGTCTCTCTCTGTCTCTCTCTGTCTCTCTCTGTCTCTCTCTGTCTCTGTCTCTCTGTCTCTCTCTCTGTCTCTCTCTCTCTCTCTCTCTCTCTGTCTGTCTGTCTCTCTCTCACTCTCTCTCTCTT